AGTTTAAGCTCCTTTGTAGCATTAGTTAAGTCACATGCTTTTCAAATCTCTTTCTATAAACAAGCAAAATACCTGTATCCAAGTGATGGAAAGCTAAAAGGAAGACATTGAAACAGTAATGAACAAAACTTTGGTTTGTATTCTTACTTTACAGATGAAAAATCTAATAGAAAATAATGAAACCACAACAGCAAATCTAAGGGCCAGGTTAACCAACTTGTTCAACAACAAAAAAATAGCTTTCCAATGCCTTTTGACAAGCTAAAGAAGCTAATGACAACAGGTGTTTGGGAAATCTGTTCTGTCACCACTCTTCCAAGTTACAGGAAGGCTCTTTCAGAATATAGGATATATCAGAAGTTCTTAAAACGATTTTCAAGATCAGTAACTCACATGTACTCATCTTCATAGGCAATTTAAGCATCTTTGAAAAGGTGAAGAGAAATTGCTCAGCCAGAAAAGTGAAATCAAACGTTTATTTTAAAAAAATCCAAAGCAGCCCTTGCAAAATGGCCAACAAGTGGTGTTAGCTGGAAGGTTTTTTTAAGATTTAAACTGAAGCTGCTGTTGTCATAAGGATCAAAATCAGGTGGCTGAGTCTGCCAATGCAGAACTCACTCTCTCATGTGGAATACTACTAGCCTTATGAATAGCAGAAAGTTGCTTTTAACTGTATTTAGGTGCTAAAACAAATAAAAGTGGTGTTCTTAAACACACATTTTCCAAAGGCTGTAGATTTGGAAAGATGGGGAGGTGCCTGAATGTGTAGTTCTGAATTTTTTGATTTTATATTTTAGAACATTTCTAAAAAAAAACCCCAAACAACCCCAAACCAAAAAGCAACCAAAACACCCAAACAACCAAAAGCATTCCACCAATAACTCGTTTCTTTATTAAACCCATCAAGGTCCTTTCAGTATTCCTTGAGGTGTCTATGATTAAGTGTGTCTCTACAAGGAAATGTTTCCCATTGATGGGCATCCCTAAGCATAACAACCAGTAAAACAAAAAAGGGAACCCTTCAAACATCAGAGGCCCTTGAACTACTGCTTCCCCATAAAGGGTCTTAGACATTCAGTGGACCAAGGGGGATTATGCTGTGCCAGTATCTCCTTGTTACAAAACACAAAGAGACTGAGGAATAGCTTATCTTTTCCTATGGAATAGAAAAATATGCTGTTAATGGCTGCAAATCAGAATCTGAGATGGGAGGGTGTAGCTGTGTTCAGCAGAGCATATGAAACCCACTGACAACTCCAGATGTCTACTTGGGCAATATGCAGTACTCCAATTCAAAATTTTAGCACGTATACCCATGTAGACCCCAGTGTACACATGCCATATGTTTGCAGAAGTTTTATGTATAAATGTCATACTGGTTGTTACAGCACTGAGATCAGAGTAAGCTTGTGTTAGGGAACTAAACAATAAAACTCTACACTGTTTCCATGTCCAGTGCTTCCTATTGGAGGCTACATAAAAATCACTCTTTACAATGAAAGCAGGGAGATCAGAGAAAGAGCTTCAGAGACTTTAAAAAGTGCAATGCAGACATACTACATCTGCAAAACCAAAGCAGCAAGTCATCCATTTCTTAATTTATCTCTTTCTACAATGCTTCCACTCTGTTTCTCTCAGGCTGCCTTTAGATACTTCAGCAAATACCAGCTGTATCAGAAAAACTGATGCTTAATTGCAGCATCTGTTTTCTTAGCACACATTTTCTATGAAACATCTGTACAGCTGCCCAATATACCTTAGGAAGACTTTGTGCTTTTCATTGGTAGACAAAAATAGGATACCCAAACTGTACCCTCCCAAGTAAAACCACAATGAGGAGGAAAATAAAATGTAGCAGAGATAAATTTTCCCCTATATGCAAGAAATTACTTCTGCTGAACTAAATAATAAACCTCTTTCATCCTTAAATCTTGTCAGCTGTTTTGTATTCCCAATACCAATACAAAAAGAATCCCTCAGCCTCTTAGGCTTTTATATTTTTCAAGCAAGCACTTAAAAATCACTTCATAGATCCTACTTAAGCTTCTTCTTGACTTTATAATTCAGTTCTAGCCTAACTTTGTCTGAAGCAGTTATTTTTATTCAGTACAGACCAGGATTTACTATGCTACCTATTGCCCAGGTACCTCAGGTTTTTCCAGTGGGTTTCATATCCTGTTTGGCAATGACTCTTCTCTCATTTACAATGCATTTATAACGTATTTTGAGATCAAAGCAGAGAATTTGCATGCCTTGCACTTCAAAAGGCCTAATACAGCAATTCTCACTCAAGCAGCAATACTTATTCTACCTACCCATGGTGGTTTGGCATCCATAATAAATTCAGAATGAAACACCCCTATCTTTTTGTCATGGGGGGGGAAAAAAATAAATCTGCTTTGGATTAAATTCTTACCATGTTGTTACTGTCATACATTTTCTTGCTAGTAATTCTAGGGCATAATGTGTTGCTTGTGCTGCACTTTCTCCTAAGACAGTACCCACACTGATTGCCAACTCCAGCTCATTTCCACGAATCAGGTTTGCCATCGCAAGCTTGCTCAATGAAAAAATTATATCATTAAGGGACACAAGCATTTTTGGGGATTCACCATATTGAGCATTTGACATTCATTTATCAGACTGCTTTTTACAGAAGGACATAATATGCATTGATTAAAGCAACTTTAGATATATATTTGGGTCTTCTGAATGAGCACGTAATTCTGTACCACATTAATCTGGTTTTAAATAACCAAGGAGGTTTCCTTCAGCAGAATCTTCCTTGATTCAGCCAAAGACATTACACAAATATCTTACCTAAAAAGCATGGTAGCAGTTAGCTTCTAGTCTTAAGTAAATACGCTAGCTTTCAGAGTACATATTTCCCCTCTCTTTTCATGAAAGGAGACACAAAAAGAACACCCAAACCAGGAAGGACTCTCTTGTTCTCACTCTCTCTGGGTAACTGGAGCTGCTGATGGGCATAGCAGAATACTAAACAGTCTATTTTGAAATACAGACACTAACTGATGATTGCTTTCTCTCTGACCAGCTGATTAAGATGGAATATTACTCATTTTGGTGGATAGAGAAGACCATATTGAGTCAGCAACAACAAAATCCAGAAAGAATGAGAAAAAGAACAGTTTGTAAAACCAGAAATGAAATACATAAACCAATAAAATGTTTTCTACCTGTCAGACCTATTTTTGTATTGAGGGGTAGGATTTTTTTCCTATTTACTTCATCATTTAGACTGCAAATCGTTCAAGGTAGAGACTGTATTTTTTGTAGCACAATGAAGTTCCACTTCTGAATGGGTCTTTTGATTCACAGTAATACTTAGGTGTATAGGTAAGCTACTGTATATATGAAAATACAATTAAATAACAACATAAGAGTTTCTGTGCATGACAGAAATCCTGAATTTAATAGAATCAGGGGAGTTTTGCTACTAATTTTAATACTGTAGGATTAAACTCTCTCTATAAATATATACCAGCAAATATCAAGTATAAGCAACACATTTTAAAAAAACAGTTTATGAAGGAAGTCTGCGTTGGCCTTTCCATAGTTAAAGAGAGGGGAAAAAAACAAACAAAAAAATTACCTCTATATTTTCAACAGCCAGATGGCAACATGCTGCAAGCACTGCATGGCCATCCTGGAAATACCACTCTGCTAGTTCTTTACTGACTTCGTGCAGAAGCCTGCAAGAACAAAACATGAATTCTGCAAGGTCACTTAAAGGTTGGCTCTTAAATTAAGTACAAGTCACCACATCTGCTCCTGTACCTTAAAACTTCTGCATCTGACTTACAGATAATGACTCTGCTAGCTTTCAAAATGCAATCGGTTTGACCTTCACCCCTCACTTATGTTGGTGCATATCCAGCTGGGTCAGTTTTCCAAAATCTACATCAGTATGGAAATGTATCTTCAGATTAGACAGAAAAAATTAAAAGATTTGGCTATTCATTCTGTACATGTGAACTCTGCATAAATATCTAAGATTTAAAAAACTGTACATGTAAATGAAGTGATTACACAGCCTCCAAGCTGCTTTTGTTACTACACAGGTAACTTGAGAACATAATTTAGGTTTTGGAGCACTGTTCTAAAGAAAGAGAGATGCACAGTTTCTTTTATAGGCACACATGAAAATAAGGCCATTAGTGTACATTGTCAGAAACTTCATTGATGACAAGCAGCAAAGCTTCAGGAGGAGAAGATGCATAAAACATCAGGTCTCACAGTTACTTGTTAAAGCTAAATCTTACTCTGCTTACCAAGAGTTCTAAGTTAATATCCTACCTATTTAAACATAGAATCATAGAATGGATTGGGCTGGAAGGGACCTCCAAAGGTCCCTGCTTATTGCAGGGATTTGGACTAGATGACATGTCCAGCTAGGTCAAGCTGCTCACAGCCTCATCAAGCCTGACCTTCAATGTCTCCAGAGATGAGACCTCCACCACCTAATTTAACCTTCACCACATATTTAAGCATCTTAAATCTAAAGATGCTGTACAAAAGCATCTTAAATATCAAGCAAACAAAAAGGCTATTTGTGAAGCAAACATATAAAAAATCCATTTGGTGGCAGGAGGAGGCACAAATGGGGGAACTATTCAGCGTAGCACCAGTTCAACTCTATCAACTAAATACTACAAGACAAGATATTCTGTTGTCAAATTCTACATTGCTGATGCCAGATTAAACCACAAAGGTTTGTCTCCCTTGAAAATGTTACATTTAGCATGAAAATGAGGCTTCAGTTATAAACTAGAATAACTTACTCGTTATAATCATCTGTTTTATCTCCACCAGAATTTGTAGATCCACTTGTGGAGAGTGTTGACATCTGTATATTTCCCTCACAAGCTGCCTAGAAGTGAATAATAATAAAAAAAAAAAGGATTAATTCACCAGTCGAATATGAAATGTGATTTCGCAACAAAACAACAACAAAATAATCTAAGATATATAAAAATCCTTCCAAAGCCTAGTAGTAAAAAAAGGAAATGTTTAAATCAATGAACTTATTCATATGTAAATCTCAGCCTGATTTTATCCACCGTTCAAGAAATTCTACAGAAGCAAGAGACCTCTTCTGTGCCTTTGTACAAGATTTTTTCAGCTTTTGAATGTGCTTAAAATGGACAGTTGAGTGTTACAACCTTGATTTTTACACCCCAAGGAGCAAATAGCCATGAGTGAAGGATGAACTACCTACTGAAGTAGGTAAAATCTGTAAAGGTTTATATAGGGACATAAGCTGACCCTTTTTAAACATCTGGCAATAAATTATTTCTAACATTAAATGAGAAGAGATCAGTGTGGGCTAAAAGAATATTTTTTAATGTGCTTTAAGGTGTAGCTTGAACAACAGCATTAAAACTCAGGGCTCAGTTAAAAGGGAAAGAAAGTCTTGGTATTTTATTGCTTAATATCTGATTAAACCTTTGAGACAAAGGCTGTTCTATGAATTGTAAAAAAAACAACCCCTGCAATGTCTCTCTTACAAGAAAAATGAAGGTCTTTCTAAATTTTAAGATGCTTTCAGGTTCAAACATTATAACTTGTTAAATTTAAGCATAACTCAAAAGTTCCACTCTTTGCACCATTCAGCTCCTTTAGAAGAACAACATACAGACACAGGTCACAAATGGTGCTCCCCAGGGCTCAGTTTTGGGGCCAGTCTTGTTTAACATCTCCATCAATGATCTGGATGAAGGGATTGAAGCCAACCCTCAGAAATTTTGCAGATGACAGCAAACTGAGTGGGAGAGTTGATCTGCTTGAGAGTCAGGAGGCTTTGCAGAAGGATCTCAACAGGTTGGATCATTGGGCTGAGGTCAGTTGTATGAGGTTCAACAAGGCCAAATGCCAGGTCCTGCACTTTGGTCACAACAACCCCATGCAATGCTCCAGGCTTAGGGAAGGGTGGCTGGAAAGCTGCCTGGAAGGAAAGGACCTGGAGGTGCTGGTTGACAGCCAGATGAACATGAGCCAGCAGTGAGCCCAGGTGCCCAGGAAGGCCAACAGCATCCTGGACTGCATCAAAAATAGTGTGTCCAGCAGGAGCAGGGAAGTGACCATGCCCCTGTACTGGGCACTGGTGAGGCCACAGCTTGAGTATTTGGTTCAGTTTTGGGTGCCACAGTATAAAAAGGACACTCAGGTGCTAGAGTGGGTCCAGAGAAGGGCAACAAAGCTGGTGAGGGGTCTGAGGAACATGCCTTACAAGGAGTGACTGAGGGAACTGGGACTGTTTAGCCTGGAGAAGAGGAGGCTCACAGGAGACCTTATTGCACTCCAAAACTAGCTGAAATGAAGTTGTAGTCGGGTGGGTGTCGGTCTTGTCTTCCAAGTAACAAGTGACAGGACAAGAGGAAATGGGATTAAGTTGCACCAGGGGAGGTTCTGACTGGATATTAGGAAGAATTTCTTTACTGAAAGAGTAGTGAGGCATTGAAACAGGCTGCCCAAGGGGGTGGCAAAGGTACCATCCCTGGAGGTGTTTAAAAAACATGTGGGTGTGGTACTTCAGGACATGTCTTAATGGTCATGATAGTGTTGGGTGGATGGTTGGATTTGATCTTGGAGGCCTTTTCCAATCTTAATGATTCTATGATTCTACAATTTCTAAAGGGCAAATTCATATGCATTATTAAAGTTCTTATCTCTGAGACAACTAAAAGTTCAAGGAGGGGCAGCCATGAGAGAATACACCAGGGACAAATCTCGACAGTTTATTTAGCAGATTGTATTACATATACAGAAACTACTCAAAAAGAGTAAAGGAATTCTGAGAGAGTGAACCAAATTATTAGTCTTGCATGTTTTGTGAGCCTTTAACTTGTATTTATACTAGGTAGCAGAAGGGACATATGCTTTTTGTTACCTCTTGCACTGTTTTTTGCATTAACTTAAAAGTTTGATTTCTTATATTGATTACTACTGCAACGGAGCAGTTTCACCCAAAGATTCTATAGAAAGTAGTATAAAAATGACCTCAGTAGAAAGAGAAATCCTATAGGTCTTTGATGTTAAGAGCAACACTGACTGCTGAAAATCAGGTTAATTTTTCTACTTCAACCAAAACCAAATACATCAATATTGATAACGAGCATCTGATTGCCTTTTAGAATAATCAGGCCTAAAATCTGTAAACATGAGCTATCTTTTTATCATTTCTGCATAAAACCTGGTCAATCTAACATGAAAGTAAAGAGCAAGGTATCATTATTTAGCCATCTTGCAAAACAGAGTTAGCCTTTTAACTATGCTTGTCATCTTCAGAGTTTGAAACAAATGGGTAAACACATCTCCCACACTGCTACTTGTATAGTACCTGTGTGACAAGAAGAGCCTCTTTAAGCTGGCCTCTTGAAATAAAGAAAGAAACTAGTTTCTTCACATCTCCAGTAGCTATACAGTATGGGATGACACCATCATTTTCTTCCTGAATTAACTGATCAGCTCTCCTAATTAAACAAATGAATAAATAAACAAGAAAGATCTACATATATAATTGATGACCAAACTTATCTGTATGGCATAGGTGTTATATGAAACCATATAAAGTTCACTGAAACCCTTCTGCCTTTCCAGACCTCAGAAGACTTGCAAATTGTGGATACTGCATTAGAGCTTCCAGTAAAAGTTGAAATTTATGCTCAACCCTTGAACTTGATTCCCGTACACAAAATCATTGTTGAAATCCTCCACAGTTCCATCCCAAAGCTTACTGAAAAAAGTAACATCACTAGAATGCTGTAACAAAGGCCAAGTACAACTGGTATTAGTACCCATCCTTCCTCTCTGTGCCCTTTTACAGATAGAAGCTACAATTAAGCATCATAATTTTTTATTACCTTACCTTTGCATTAACTTCCTCCAATATTTCATTGATACACCAGGTGCAACTGACAGAGCTTTGTCCCACTACAAGAGAGCAGCAAGATGTTTAACCCAGTGGTTTTATTTTGGGAAACAGCTTTATTTTTAACTAGATTCATGTTTCTTCCCTTAAAAATAAATTTGTTAAGAGGTTAAATAAGAAATGAGCTATGCATTACACTGCATATGTTAAAAATGACTGCAGCAAGATTACTCTGTTCTGCACTTGTGACTCTTTTTGTTGCTACCCCACCTTTGCTAACATAGCTGGTTTTCAAAAATCTTCATTTTTTATTTTTCTTCAATAACTTTATGATATTTTACCTCTCCAAGTTCTACCATGAGTTCACAATATCGCTGAATCTGTCCTAATCTTAAATGTATTTCTGCAGCTTCTTTAAGCCTCTCCTCTTTGCTCGGTGCACCAATTCCACCTCCAAACTTGGACATTTTCACTGTTGTCAGTTCTTGTGCCTTGGACTGAGGGAAAAGGAAGATGAAAAAAGAAGTTTGGGGAAACAAAAAAAAAGTACAATCTTTAGTGATGAAAACAAATGTTTTTAAGAATGAACTAAATCAACTAATGTCAAACTTTACAATGAAATATAAAGGCTGTCATTTAAGAAAAAAATCCTTTTGAGAAAAACCTAATTGGAAAAGATTACAATGAGATTACAGTGAACTGTTTTCTATTGCTAAAGTAACTGTGTTAGTGTTTTGTTGCACACATACATTTTCCTCAATTGCCTTCCTTTAATCTCTTTTCTATATATTTTTTAATCTCAACCATCTTCTCATAAGTAATAGTAATTCACTCAGATGTCCAAAATCTTGGTATTTTTGAATTTTTTTAAAAAATAAAATATTAACATAAACCATACAGAGCTGGAAATTGTACTTATTATCATTATAATGATGTCCACATAGAGGAAGAATAAATACAGTAGGCTCAGCCTGTGTCCTGATGTGTCATACCCCATTAATAAGTAAATTATTTCTATTCCCAACCACTGCAATTTTTACAGTCCTTGAAGAGACATGTCTGCATTTCTCCATCTGGCAGAGTCTGAGAAACAAACTGCAACAGGACTGCATGTAACATAAAAAAAAAAAGGCAAAAGGAGCTTTACATTTCAAGAATTCTCAGTTTGCAATGTGAAACAGCATTTGGCTGTTCAGGGCTTTATATGCACTCAATCACATTGCAGGGATAAACAAACTGCTTTGCACTGCATGAGTCCAAAAAGAATATCTTCTTCTCAGGCTAACTGGCTGAAAAAAAGTGGGGTTTGGACACACACAGAGAATTTCATAATATTAGCAGAGTAACTACTATTATGACAAGTAACATCACTAATAAAAACCTTCCATCACTTAAGAGTTCTAACATTTGTGGGACACTGTAAGAATCTGTGACTTTGTAAAAGAGACAGTCTGCAACAGCAAACAACAGCTGCCACTTGGCAGGTATTTAGCCCTGGGGGTGGCAAGTGAGTGGTTATGCATTCCCTGGTCCTTACCAATAGACAGACATATTCCTCTATTTCTGCCATTAGTGTATAGGATTCTTTAGTATCCCTAAGTCCCTGGCAGAGCCCTGTATTCCCATATTCTGCACAAACTGTGTGTCTGGTTGTATATTCATATATTCAGCTACTAAGAAATTTATGGCCTAGTACTTGAATTTCACATTCACATCTGAGTCACTTCAGCTGCCTATTGGTATTCATGACAGGTTCTTGGTTTTCCAGTCCTTCCAGTCAGCCACAGAGCACACTACTGCTGACTTGCCTCCATTTTCAGACATGTATTCCTCTGTCCCTGCATCACAACATAACTAAAACTTCACCTTTATACAATCAAATGATTTGACTTTATTGAACATAAAAGTACAGTATATATAATAGGGAAGACAAACCTGCTTCATAGCTCAAACTGTAGTGGTGCTTGCTTTGCTATGTCTTTTTTCTTTTTTATTTTGAAAGCTGTTTCTCTAGTCAGTAATGGTAACCTAGGATGTTAACACTCAGTCTGCACAAGGCCCCGTGGACTTAGCCAGATGCTGTTCTTTGAACAGACTAATATTGCACAGAGAACTGCATAAATATTTTTAGATATGAAATAAACAGCAATGCTTTTGTAAAGCACTGAATGTTATTTTTGAAAGTGTAAAATACTATATGGATTAACAACCATGTTCACAAACCATTTATGCTTCACTTACCATCCTAAATCTAATGAGATGTTTCATATGCATAATTCCTTTGCAGTAGTTTTGTGGAAGCAAACTGTCATCCTGTCCTTTCACTACAGCAACCAAATCCCATAAATTCTTGCTGCCTCCTGGAGGCTAAAATTGTTAGGGAAGAAAAGAGTTGTATTATAGTCATGTTCAAGAGAGACACTTAAACTTATAAAATGCTGGAAAACATTTGTCTGTCAATTCCAAGAAATGTGATTTCTGACTATTACTTTCAATATTAGAAGCTTTACTATGAAGACATAAATGAGTTCAAAATACTACAAATCTTTCAGTCTTCTTGAAGGCTGTAATGACACAGCAAGGTCCACAAATGTAAGTCCTTGATTATGTGTGGACACAGTTGAAAGCTCACCATTCGTTTTCCCTTTTGCTTCCAAAGGAGTACAAGCTACCTGGTGGGTACTGCTGCTACAATCTGGTTTACTATCTTAACATTAAATCTTAAAATAGACACATATGGTATAACTGTATATGTATACAATCTTGCAGGCCATCAAGGTGATATTTTTTTTTTTTTTAAATAAAGTTTAAGCATTTTTATTGGTCTAACATTTGAATCGTTCCTTCTGTAGAACTAGGACAATGTTTTAACATGGAACAAGGTTTAGAAGAGACTAAGTAACTAAAAGCTTAAAACATAAAAAAATTATTAAACATTTGAACTGAGAATAAGAATCTATAAGAACAAGAAGATAAATTAGAAGGCCAGTTATTTCTGAGTTGGTAAAAAGCAGATCCTACCAGAGGGAAGGGAAAAAATAAACAAACAAACAACCCTCCAAAAAAACCCCCAACAACAACAAACTATTCCCTCTTTTTTTATCCTCCTAAAGCTCTTACTTGACTCCCCATAGTTTAAGCACAATACCATTTTCTGGATTCACAAAGCACTGAACTCAGATGATCAAAAAAAGGTTTTTGTTCTTGGAAAATTCACATATTCTTATAACACTTTTACTCTTGAATCAACCCAGGACATCAAAATTAATGTGAATTTCCAAGAAATTCCATAAAATTATATTTTTAATATAACAGGAAATTTAAAGATTCGTAATTGAGGAAGATTGTTTCAGCATTTCTAAATGATACACTACAATTTAGCTAGAAATCAAAAGTTGTATTTTGGGTGAACTAGATCTTTGCAGATCAGTGTAATGACTTAAATTACAACAGTGCTTGACACAAACTGTAGTTCCAGGTCATTTTTGTCCTTGTTCTACCTCAAGTCCAGCTCCTATGAAGGTAAGCACTAACAGAAACCCAGAAGTTTACATTTTTAACTCAATGACACAGAAAGGCTGCAGGGATTTATAGGAAATATTCCTGTGCAACAGAGCAAAGGAAACAGATGGATCCTGAGGCATGGGCCATACAGATCTACAGCTCCTAGAAGGCAATACAGTGGTTTTGGCACAGACACTTGGGCAGTTCAAACATCATCTGTTTAAGAGGGTATCCCTTTGATGGATTTAAAATCCAGTGTAGTTTGAAAAAAACATCTTTTCATTCTCTTCAATAGAAAATTCTTGTTAGATCAAAACTTTCCTATGGAAAATTAAACTATCCCACCTACTTCACTGTGAAAAATTAGTGTTCACACTAACAAACAATTCAGTTTTGGACATTTTTACATCCAGAACTGTTAAGAGATACAATTTATTTCTGCATCTTTTCTGAGCTCCCTTTCAGAAAGAAAGGGGAAAAAAAAATGGTAGAGAAGAAAGACATTTCAGTTTTGGAGATTGACTTCAGCAAAGCAAGTCATGCACGCTTGACAACATCCTTAAGTTTGCAGAATACTTACTGAAAAACATTCTGAAAACCACCTTAGTTTTTTTCCTCGAGGATTTCCTGTTAATTTTTCCAATTCTTGTTTAATATCCTTGGAAACTTTACCACACAGCAAAGGAGGAGCACCAGATTCCACAGCACGATCTAACATACACAAAGATTTATACATGAAAGTTAAACAAAGAAAAAAATACAGTATCATACAGAAGACTAAACCAACGGTACATACAATTCACTTACCTGTATTACCAATAATCTCATCCCAACATCTCTCTGCTAAGATATTTATTTGTAGAGAGTTTATAAGAGGTGTCAATGACCAGAGTCTCACCGTGGAGTCACGAGAGCAAGATGCCATAGTAAATGGACGACTAGGATGACATGTTAATCCTAGTAAAGAGAGCATTTTAAAATGTGGTCAAATAACTGAGTTTATCTAACAACCAGTTCGATCAATTTTTATAAATTTTATATCTTTTCAAATGCATTTCAATACAGAAATAAAATTTTTAAAGATTACCATATACATCTGCGCCGTGATCATGAACGGTGTCCAAACATGTTCCATCTCTTGTGTCCCAGACTCGAATTGTATAGTCCCAGCTGCCAGAGATGAGAAGGTAAGGAATTTCAGGATTCCACATCAGTCCCCGCACTGGAGCTGTGTGTCCACTCAGAACATTTATACAAGCATCCTGGGTATAATCCCATATTCGGACAGTACTGAAACAGGATTAAAAAGAACTATCAAATCCCCTACAGAATTATGATTATTCCTCTACTTCAGCAATATTTGAGGATTAAGATTTCTCAGAATATTTATTTGCGCTATGTTTATACAAGTTGTAACAGAAGAAGTTGGAGCTAATGCCCTTCACATTTAGGGTACGGTACAAAATAACACCAAAGACAATTTACTAGAGTAAGAAACTATTTAATCAGCTGCATAGTCTTTCAAAATCTCACATGCACCATTATTGTCGATGAGAGAAAAGAAGTTTGCCCCTATACCTGCATGTGCAATAAATTTGTCTGTTAGGACATCAAGGGGGAAAAAATGATAGAAAAACAAAGCAAAACTGTTAAGATCTATCTTTCCTATATCTTTAACAGCCCTCTAACAGACCCAGATCTGTTAGTCTGACCTCAGCTCCTAGAAAAACTATGAAGATCAGAGAGTGCACTACTGAAGAGCATTTCAGAGTAATGCAGTCATGGAGCACAGTCAACACGAGTTCACAGAGGGTAAGTCCTGCCTAACTAATTTGATAGTCTTCTGTGATAAGGTCACCTGCTTAATGGGTGAAGGGAAGGTGGTGGACATAGTTTTTATGTATTTTAATAAGGCTTTTGATACTGTCCCTCACAGCATCTTCTGGACAAGTTCTCCAATGGCAGATCAGCAGGTTCACGGCGTGGTGTGCTAGGTGAAGAACCAGCTGAATGGCAGGGCTCATGTGGCTGTGGTGAATGGGCCACATGTGGCTGGTGACTGGTCAACAGCAGTGTTCCTAAAGGTTCAACTCCAGGGCCAGTCCTTTTCAATGCATTTATCAATGACCTGGATGCAGGATCCAAATGCACTATTAGCAAGCTTGCTGATGACACCAAACTGGGAGGTGCCATTGACTCTCTTGAGGGACAAGAGGCCTCGCAGAGGGATCTAGATTGGAGCACTGGACAGTGATTAATGGGACGAGTCAGTGGGGTGCCCTGGCAGCCAAGAGGGCAAACCCCATCCTGGGGTGCATCAAACAGCATAAACAGCTGGTCAAGAGAGGTGACTGTCCCTCTGTAATCAGCGTTGGTGTGGCCTCACCTTGAGTACTATGTGTAGCTCTGGGCATCACAATTTAAGAAGGACATGAAGGTCCTTGAATGCATCCAGACAAAAACAACAAAGCTGTTGAAAGGCACGTCCTATGAGGAGTGGGTTAGGACTTTGGGTGGTTTAGTTTGAAGAAAAGGAGTCTGAGGGGCAACCTCATTGCTTCCTACAGCTTCCTGAGGAGTGCACATGGAGAGGTTGGTGCTGAGCTCTTCTCCCTGGGATCCAGTGATAGGCTGCATGAGAATGGTTCAAAGCTGCACTAGGGGAGGTTTAGACTGGACACTAGGATGCATTTAATCACCAAGAAGATGGTCAGACACTGGAACAGGCTTCCTAGAGAGGTACTCCAAGCCTGTCAGTGTTTAAGAGGCATTTAGACAATGCCCTTAACAATCTGCTTTAACTTACAGTTAGCCCTTAAGTGGTTAGGCAGTTGGACTAAATGATTCCTGGGGGTCCCTTCAACTGAAGTATTCTATTCCATTCTATTATCTTCTCTCCTTTGAACATGGCATTTGTCTCATGGCAGACCTGAACACCACACTACCTTAAAACTGTGAAACTCCAACCACAATTACCCAAACAATGGATTCATACCAGCTTTCTCACTATTTCTTTTTTTCCCCTTTTAACAAAATTCTAACATTTCCTTTTATTTTCAGTGGTTGCTATCACTGGGTACAGCTAGCTGAGCTGACTACAGAATTAGGAATCTCAAAGTTCAGTTTCTTGAAAAGATCACAGTAATTCTGGCTAAATTTTATTACATTATCAAGTATGTTACCAAAGCTCACTCATGGCAGCACAGCCACTTATTGGAGTTTCTCAAGTGCTGCAAAGGGGCCGTTTAAAGGTCCTTGAGGCACAAAGTAGAATCCACAAGTTAGAAGGCCATATTATAAATATGTATTTACATATATATTGTCCTGCAGCAGTATGTGCTCATGTGTGACCTTTGTATATTGTTCCTAAGTACTGTGTAAGGCTAGGTGCCAAAAAAATCATCTGAAATAGTTCCAAGTTTGACTATCAACAGGAGTATTACCAAGTACAATAAACTCAAAAGATTGTTTACTTTCTGTTACCTGGGACTAAGTTATTGAACAATCCCTGTTGCTCAAAGCAGAAGTGTGACTGTATTCTGGAAATCCCTCTGTAATCAAGTCTTATTACATAGCCATGATTGGTGGTAAAATACCTCATAATAACACTGTGACAGAATCTTGGATTCACTACTTCTTGCTCATGTGAAACAGGATTTATATGTGCCAGTAAAGACTTTAAGTTTCTCTGATAGTCCTGCTTGAGTTTTTAAGTTTTCTAATAGTTCAGAAATACACACCCATCATCAGAGCCACTGCAGAGGATTCCTTCTCTCAGAGGAGACCACCGTACATGAAATACCTTTGCAGTATGCCCTGTGAAAACTTTCAGTGGCTGATCAGAGCTGGTTGCCAAGTAGTAAACACGAACATTTTTATCCTCACAACCTGTAGCTATCATATCTCTGCAAAATAAGAACAGTAAAAACCTCAGTCACAGGGATCATCAAAAGGAGTTCTTTTTTAGTTTAAAAATAAATATGATGTGCATTTTGGAATTTACTTTAAAGAAAACAGTGTATTTTTGCATCTCTTTTGTCTCTGCATGAAGTAATTATTGATAATCTAATTAACTATACTAAAAATTAAATATACCAAATGAGACAAAAATAAAGATCCCATAGTTGTAATTTGCACTACAGTCTGACCAAGCACCCAACACATAACTATTAATAGACTGAATTACTGTGCAATTTCTTTTGACAGAACATTCTCAGGTTATTAGGAGTTATCTGTAAAATTAACATATATCACAGTGTACTTAGTTGCTTGCTATATCTCCAGTTTAGCAGTCAACAATAGGAAACTAATCTATACCCCTCTTTCCTGTTATTGAATGTCTGCTTCTTTTTTCCCCATTATATATTCAGCCAGAGAATTTTTACTTCTCACATCACTATGAAAACATCTTCTTTTGAAAGTTAAATAAGTTCATGCTGGGCAATGAAATCCACTAGTGGGAAAACAGAGCTGCTACGGACATACCCTATTGTGGAACAGGAACAATTTCAGTGCTCAGTGCACAGTAAATATCACATGCCAAATAACTCTATGTTACCTTATTGGTAATCAATTTAAATAGTAAACGGTATCAGTTCTTTGGGTTAATTTTTACTTACTTGTTGTTTTGACTCCAGTCACAGCCAAACACGGCGGCCGGATGTTTGTACCTGTGAAGGACTCTGCCATCAACAGTTCGAATAATGCTGAAACCAATTACAAGGCAACACTGTGAGGAAAAGCACTCTGAGTAGGCTATCCAAAATTCAAGTTTGACTCTGTGCATGTAAGCCAGATAGCAAAGAAAGTATATGAAAGAACATGAGAAACCTCCTTCCCTTCAGCCAGAAGGCTAACTATGTATTTCCCAACAAAACGTTTAATGGGACTTCAGAGTCCACGTTCCTTCGTAGGGGCTGTGAAGATGTTCACTGTGGTACCTCCCTCCCTGAAAAAGTCCTAACAGCCCAAAATCTAAGTTGTAGCTGTGGCTTTAAGGTACAGATAGATCTTTAGGGAATTTGGGGGGAGGGAGGAGGGGGAGATGAGTGTTTTCTAAGATTCATGATTGTTATATTTGAGTTGAAATAACATGGGTAGCAAAAGAAAAGAATGAGCAAGGATTTAAACATGCACTGAAACACAATAAATGCAAAATTGTTCACATGGGCATTTACAACTCTTTCAAAATAAGCTATTATATTCCTGTAATAGTACAGTTGCAATTACTTTGTTTTAAAATAGCAACTCCTAGTCCTTGAAATAACAAATGTAAAAAAAAAAAATAAAAAATTAAGGCAAGTAAAGTGGGATAGCTTTTGAAAAGTGTCCTCCATAGCTGCAGATAAGAAACACAGAAGAATATTCTTGGCTAAATAAAAATCTATATTCAGTTTCACTATCAGAGTGTCTTAAAAACTATTCCTGTTAAAAACATTTCCTTAATTCTTTTCTTACAATTGTGAAAAAATATATCCTGACAAGTACAGGAGATTAATATAATCCAAGTTTTGTCCAGTAAGAAAAAGTTTAAAAATTAATCACTGATAACACTGTCAAGGTTTAATGACTTCAGAAGTGCATTTAGCATGTTTGTTTTTTTTTTTTCTTCCAGTAACACTCACCAAAATCCATCATTGCTGCAGGTTGCTATTCTTTTGGAATCTTTATGACTCCAGGCAATGCAGAAGATTCCATTCTTTCCATGCTTCAAAAAATGCAAAATACCTATCAATAAGAAATAATTCACCCCTTTTTCTCACATCTATTGACTCACCTCTTTTATTTTGTCCTCCTATGGACTTTTCTCCCAGTAAAGTATGCTTTACAAAAATGCATTATAATGAATCCCCAGTATACCTAGGATATTTGAGAATCCAAGTCCAAAAAACTGGGACGGAAGAGAGAGAGACAATAAAACTCCCATACTCTCCAGGATCCAAGAGAGAAAACTGGGTCAAGTTGAAGAATAAGCAACACATAACTATATAAACCTGAAGCTTGAAAAAACATTAGCTACTTGCTGGAATAATGAAGTTAGTGGCCATGAATATGGGGTATGTGAAAACTTAAGTGGGACATGTATCAGGACGAACATTTGAGAAAAAAAATGAGTATCTCAAGTGCAAATCTTGTGAGTGTTAGAACTCAAGGAACTCCTGAATATGTGTGTGTTTTCTGCCCACACTCCCCACCCCCATCTCTGTTTTCTTAAAAAGCATCCTTTGTCCTCTGATGCAGATGCCACAGTTAATTATGTCTGTATGATCCGAAGATCACAGCTGTATTCATGAATACATAAAATAACACAGAATACTACAACATAGTGTTTAATAAGTCCTTCTGCCAACAACAATTATGCTGTTGTTTCAAGACTTGCAAATGCCTGGAGAGATTTCAGGTAGTACAAGGCAGAATTCTAAATAATGTTTAGTGTACAGCAAAATGGGGCTTTATTGGTCTAGACTTCAGGGACTGAAAATATTTTCTGTGCCTTACATTTGAAAATGAAGAACATCACTTTACATTTTGATACCTGGTTTAAAATCTATATATCCATATATATTTACACATCTAAGAAAAAAAATCAGCTATGCTTCTGCCAATTTTAAGACAATGGAGGACGTCTGGTGCTTCATCATTCTCATGTCACAAACAGTCAAAGTAAAAAATGGTTCTGCCTCAGAGATAAACTGGCACCCGTGTGATTCCTTCTGTAGACTTTAGCATTACAGCCCATTTTAAAAACATATGAACTTTGACCCATCTTTATTTATTGACACTAGAGAGAACAACCAACTTACATTTCATATAGACAAAAAAAGAAGCAATCTTCTCTTACCTCATTGAATCTGGTTATCATTTTGCCTTTTTGGACATCCCAGATGAAAGCACCATTTTTGGATGTTGCACCTGCTATGCAGTTCAGATCTCCTTTACAGAAAAAATATTTGTCAGATCTCACAATAAATAGAACATCACAATATTGTTTAACCAATGCATTTCTAAACTCAAGGAACGTGATATAAACAGAAGAACTCAATGATACCTAAACAAGAGTTTTTTTATAGGTTAAGGCCACTATTTGACACTAAGTCACAAATCTCAATTTCAAGGGCAAAATAAAAGTTGTATTTTTACAAAAAATACTCTCATTATCTGATGAAAGTTAAGGTGACAAGAAAATAATATCCATGATGCATATAACTCCAAGTGAAAAAGAGACATAAACTCAATGTTTTAAGCTTAAAGTTGTAGCAACCAAAGCATGTGCTTTTAAAGTTCCCTACATACCATGACAAATCCCAAAAGCTGCAACAGAGCATAGAACAGTACTTTGTTTTCTCAGTCTTGCTCTACTGCAGCACCTAAGCCCATCAAGTATGTACCTGCATCTGTAACCACAATCTAGAGGGTGGGAAATCTGAATATACGACTCCATTGTGAAAACCTGAAAACTGAATTCAGGCCTGATCCAAAATCAATCAAATTCTCTTCAGCACAGTGACCCTCTATCTCAATATAGCTATACTTTTCCTAAATAGCCACATTGCACATTTATAGAAGAATTTTGGCTGTCATTTTATACCACACTTCATAGGCAGAAAACAAGCTATGCAGGAGGAGTCTAGAAAGGCACCTATGTAAGACGGAAAGTGATTCAGGTAGGAGAACGACAGGGGAAAAGAAAAGATGAAGAGTAATCACTATGTTCAAAGACCTTTTGAGACCAAATACCAATAGTGGCATGCACTGGCTTCTATGTTTATTCCCTCCACAGTGAACAAACTATTCTCTCAATGTGATATACTACTACAAACTGAATTTAAATTTCAGAACAAAATAGCACAAAGCATCGTATTTCATATTGCCATAATTTCCATCGAGCGAGACAAATTATCCGTGAAGAACAATATTCAAGAGACTCCCTGAAATCAAAAAACTGCAAACTCATTTTACATATGCAGACTACACACTAAGCTTCCCGTTGCAGTATTTTTTTTTTCAGTTACTATTTCTTAGAGTTAAAAAGCATAGGAGAGAAAAGCCGTGAGCTGAATTACTTAAGACTTTTTTTTAAAAAATGCATCTGCTATCCAAAGAATGAAAAGGCAAGAAAACCTACCTATTAACTACTGACATTAGTAACTCTGAGAAATGTAATCCCAGGTTCAACTAAGTGGGTTGCAGAACAGTTTTAAGAAGAAAATTTCAGAGACTTTTAAAAAAAAAGCAGAAAAAAGAAAAAGTCTTCTTTAAGAAAAGTCCAGAAAAGGTATTCTTTATTTTAATAAAGCAAAAGCAGAGCTTTTTAGTGATTAGAATCCTACATAAAGAAGGAAGAGAAAGAACTAAACACATATGTTCCACTTTTTCAACACAATAGAATCTAATTCCTTTAACAAGCTGCTTCCCATGCAAAGAAAGCCTCTTCCATCATCTGCATTAGGTAATGCTAGAAAGATTCTGGAGATCTGCCTCCCTCCATTCTGACTCAGTATGAAACTGTGAAATCACATCTCATGAGGGTAAACCACAACACCAAGCACTGAATTCTACAGGTTTCACAGGTAACAGTTCAGAGATGTTTAAACCTTACAAGATACCCTTCTACCTAAAACTTTTATAACATGAATTCTGCTAGTCAATGCTAATTCAAAGAACATTTAGACCTAAGGAAAAATATTCTTACCTGGAGCCCAAGAAAGAGAATAAATAACCCCTTCATTACCAGGAGATGTGTAAACCGCTGTTAAAGTATTTATGTCCCAAACTTTTATTGTGCCATCAAATGAAGCTGTAGCAAGAAGATCAGGGTTATCAGGTTTGAATTTGCAATCAAAGATGGTCTCAACATGTCCCTTAAATGAAACAAATATTTAATCCATTTTTATTAAGTTTTTTTTTTTTCAGAAGTCCAACTCTAGATCAAACTCTAAAACACATTATATTATAACCTGTCAGGTCAATTATGAGCTCCATAAGACCTGTATGTTATGGCTTATCAGTCAAAATTAAAAGGCATAAAATAGCTTGTACTATAACACTCTGCCCTTTCACATATCACTATTAAAAGAACAAAATTCTGTTCTGAAACAACAGGATGATGCCAGGTACTTGGATAGCATTTTCAGTTGCAACTGTGTTGCTAAAAAATGGAAATATAAAAAAAAAATAAAACTAAAAACAACCACACACACACACACACACAAAATTTAATTTTTAAAAACAGAAACAATTTTGCACTTTGGGTAAAAAGTATCTGCCTGAAAAAAACAAAGCTTTGTATGTTGATCATATTCTACATGGTTTCTAGTATTCCATTGAGTTTTCTATGTTTCTAAATACAGTCCATACTCTACTGCAGTTTAAACTTCCATCTGTAAGAAATTTCACGTGCCAATTGCTTGTTCTCTGAGACATGCTTATTTAGAATTTAACCTGACATATAAATGAGAAACAGATAATATGTAATTTCTTTTTAAGCCTCAGCTGCTTTATCAGACCAAAATCATTAAAAATGGAAAAAGAACACCCACCAATAACATCTATTCAAACACAAATGGGAGTACAGATGAAAATTATTCAAGCTTTTCCAATGAAAAGGGAACAGTGAAAGAGAAAAATCCTCAAGAATAACCCAAAGCCCAGTGAAGAAGAGGCTCACCTAATATCTGATAAACCATTTTGAATTTCTGTTTAGAAGATTTATTAATTCAGTTCTTGTAATTTTAAATTGAGTGACCTCATCATCTTGAGCCGTGTATATTTTTCTCTCTTCTCTGCCTAGAACTTTTATTCTGGATTATAAAAAGCCTTTCAGATACTATTCCTGAGAAGGCCATAAAATTAAAATTTCAGTTAAAAAAAAAACCAAACAAACCTTTAAACCTTTATTTCTGGATAAAAACAAACTGCCAGAATGCTTCCAATAGGATTCAGTCTTTTGCAGTGAAGAATTACTTTCAACTTCAGAACTGTCATTTTCTTTCTGAGAAGTTTAGGCTCTCTTTCATTATAGAAACTGTTTTACAGTGCTCTGGAGACTTCTCTCTCCATTTTTTGCTGTTAGAATAAAGTGTATAAGCCAAATAAATAAACTCTCATTCCAAAGACAGAGATGAAGCATACCATATCTCTAAGGAAATCCCACTTTTTGGCTCCCATGTCGTAAAGCCCAACTCCACCGTCCATGAAGCAACAGACAGCATGCCCAGGAGGAAGAGAAAATGCTTGGTTTTGGGTTAATGTTGGAGGAGGAACAGCCTCACTTGTTGAGGATGTATGGTGATTTTTAGTAGGATACTGTGATGAACATGCTTAAGAAAATAAAGCAAAAAGATATAAACAGGTAAGATTTTTTTTTTTTCATTTAACAATAAGTAACAATTAGAAAGGGTAAAATGCTTTGTATTCCAATGAGATTAAAACAAAAAAAAAACCAAAAAATAAAATGGAGAATTCTTGTGTGAAACATGATCTACTAAAAAAGGACCTTATAAATAGTGCTCGATCCTTTACCCATTTGGCTACACTGGCACCACAGTGTACTTTGTTTAATTAAGAACTACAGATCTGACACAAATTTACAGAGATTGACTCAGTTATAACAAGATTCACAAACAAGTTTTTCTCAGCTTGCTGCCACTGCAATGAATAACCATCAATATTACACTTACACTTTCTCTTTGGAGGAGAACTTAGCACGTGCAAACCATGGAAACCAGTTTTCTTCAATTTAAAATTATCTATAGGCGTTGTACGTGAAACATTCCAGATACGTAACACACCAACCTGAGAATCTGAGGTTTAAAAAAAAAATTTACAAAATTGTTACAGAGGTAGGCAGTTTAAGAACTGATTGAAGCAAAAATGTAACAATGAATAAACTGAGAATCCCAAGAATTTTAAAAGTATGCGCTGTCATCTCCATGGTAACAGCACTAGTAACAATAATAATAATTAAAATTAGTTATTTAAACTTCAGTAGCAAACTGTATTGAACCTCTCCCATAAAATATTCTCAGTCTCACTTTCCTTATTTGTTCAACCTGAGCAGTAACATCTCTGGTGTAGAAGAGAGGCAATAAATCATTACTTTTTTAAATCCTTCTGAAAATAAAGAAAAGCAGGCGAACAAGAAGTGCCATCCACTAGGTTTTGTACAATGCCTATATGCTTTTATTTGTAGAAATGTTAAGAAACAGAAAGATCAAAGTTCAAGTATCAATTTTGAAGACTCAGTCCTATGCTTATTACCTTTGTATAAATCAGAAAATAAAAGACTTACCTCCAGTTACAAACATTCCAGGTGCACTAGAAACCCAGGCTAAACACTGAACAGATGCTGCTGCACTGGGGAAATTAAAAGTTGTGATAGAGGACAGAGATTCAGAATCAACTAGTCGAATACCATTATGTAAATTAGCAACAAGAAGGTAGTCAGTTGACAAAGGGTCCCACTCCAGTGCTGTAACTGGATCCTCTTCATCTGTTCCTTCAAGAGACTCTGGTCTTAAGACATGTTTCTGGTTCTTAGAACCTTTAAGGACACAAGAAAATAGAGTCTTTAAAAATAAAATCAAGTATATCCCCTTTCAATAGTTACAAGGTTGACAAACATTTTTCTCTCTCCCTGAAATTTTTTAGTAGCCTCTTCTACTGTCTGCACTACTGAAATTTATGAAGCTGGCTTTGGAACATTTGACTTAAAAGTAGTTCTGGCTCCATCAGATCTGACTTTTTAAATACATTAGAAAATAGAAACAGCTGTCAGGTTTATGAATGTAATTTCATATTAAAGGAAGGTATGTTAAATCATATACATTGTCCTCATAGTTTCCATGAGGAAAGGCCTGCAGCACAGCCTAGAATACAATTAATTTAAGTAAATCTGCATACCATGGCAAGTACAAGCAAAATAAAGGCAGAATGAACTAGGAAAAAAAAAAAAGTGGCAGCCAAAAATTGTTTATGAACAATTACCTTTAGATTTTTTTCCTCCTCAAAAACTGTGTGCAATTATGACACATTCATAGACTTTGAAGCCAGAACAGGGAATTAAGTAACTAATTTGACACCTGCATAACAGAAGACATTTCACTAGATGATCCATGTTATTGATAACTACCATTTTCGATATCATGGGGTTTTTCCCCTACTTTTTGTTTCTATTGAGAGTTGGCTCTTAGTTTTATAAGACAGTATACATTTCAAATGAATAATTAAAACACATTTTTGAAGTTGTGATCTAGTATTAAAGGAAAAAAAAACAAACTAATTTTGTACACCTTTTCTAGAAATAAGGAATTGTCACCTTGCATTAATCAGTTTTTAATGTAATTTTCAATTTTGATATTGTAGAATGTGGTTAATTTGTCATATTAAGATAAATGCCAAGACCTACCCATGTTCCTTAATGATTGATGCAGAAGAAAGCCTATTCCAACACATTTTATAAAAAAAAGCTGAATAGTTTTTGTTTACTGGGAACCATTCTAAATTCCAACACAACTCACATTAATATTTGCTGGGGAAACTGCTATTAGTGCACGCTGTATCTAGGCTAACTTTATAAATCACTTACCAGAAATGGGGGAAATCATTTAAAACTGCACAATAAATAGCCTAAACAAATTTCTCCATTCCATTTATGTTTGTATAGAAGACAACTGTGCCAAAGTGAAGTCCCTTTTGACAGATCAGGAATAACATCAGAAGTATCATAAGATAACTGCTTTAAATGTGCCCAAAACGTTGAGATTCCCACTTTCTTTAACAATGTTCCCTGCTTACATTTCTGTTCAGATATTTTCGTTAATGAAAATGAGCAGTCATACCAAAACCAGGAATGGACAACAAAGCAGAATTGTCATTATTCATTTAGCTTTACAAGAACTAAAGGCAAAGTGTCCTCCAGTGATCAAAGCCAGTCATGTTCAAACACTTCAGTCCCAAGAAAGCCCAATCAGCTGGTAGGAGAATATGGATATGTAGGAGTTATTCTGTTTCCCCTGTGTTTCCAAAGAGTCCAGAAGCAAAGCTCATGGAAATCCTAACTGTTAACTTTTATTTTCCATTAAAAGAAGGCATCAGCATGGTGAATCACACAATTGAGCCACAGGTCATTTAAGCAAGCTGTGCTTCTGTCGAGAACAAGTGAAAGGTAAACTAGTTTATGGAACACTTGGCTCTGCATGACTGCAGTGTAATTCTTTAAAAATAGGGTACTAATCTCAAATCCTTGCATATTTTTCCTTCACACTAAATGTTCTGCTACACTAATGGATAGTCTGGAGTTCATAACAAGAAAACACAGCCACAAGAGAAAAAAAAGTAGATAACAATAAAGGAAAAAAAGTTGTTTAGTATGCTAATTATGGATCAATGACTCACACTTGAACAGAAAGACTAGAGCCTTCAAGTCAATCACACCAAACTTTCAGGCAATTAACAGGAACTTATGGATGTTCAGGTTCTCTCAAGATAGTGTTTTGTAGGATACCCTATAAAAGTACTGAAACCTTTAAAATTAAGGAATAGGATTTTTTAAAAGAAAATTATTTCAGTTGGTGAACAAGCAAAGTTCTGGTCCAATGACAAATCATTTTACATATTTGGACATGCAGTAGATGAGGGCTGAACTTTGATCTCACAGGAAAAAAAAAATTAGGTTCCTATTCCTTATTGAAAAGTACCAGTTCTTTGTGTCCCACTCCCTCTTCCCCTCTGACACAGGGGGCCTATATTCATCCTGTTGAAACCACTTTCTTCTATGTATTGTTATATTTTAAAAGCTACAATAGTCAGATTAATTTTTGGTTATAAATTGCAAACTAGCAGCCTACAGTTGAAAAAGTAGATAACTTGGATGAGCCTACATTTTCAACTGTATAAGACACACACTGAAGTAATTTATGAAAGTGTAACTACAGGAGTGGTACTTACATTTTATTACAGTGATACAATCTGTTTTTCAATATTACCTAATTTTAAAACATATTTTATCTGTTCACCGAAATTTTCATGTTCTATTCTTAAACACACCTGTGTGTTTTTCTAAAACTATTTTTCCTTTTCTCATAGTGTAAAGAAAGCAAGTTAAGTGAAAAATAATGGTTCTGAAAGAATGCAGACTGGTATTATAATTGCTCTGATGTCATTGTCCTAAATTACAGGAATACTCTCCTTTGAATTAAAATATTCAAATTTCTTATTGCATGCAAGTCTGGGCTTTGAATGGCAGCTCTATGGTATTCCAATTAATAGTTGTTCTTGAATGTATCTGAATTTATCTTGCACAGTAAAATTTCCTACTCAGTTCTGTCAATTAATCTGTAAAGTAGATCTCTGTAGATCAGTGTGCCTTTTTTTTTTTGGTTACAGAAAATCAAATAATCTAATTTGACCAAACTTTTTTTTATATCCATTTCATTAAAATAAAAGTATTCAGGTTTAAAAAACACTTAATGTGATCCAACAGAAAGTGTACTACTAGTAGAAGTAAACTGCATTACTTAAATCCAGGATTCTTCAGTGTTCTGACAAAAATTTTCACCCAATTGTGCATACACTTTCAACTTCTTAATTTTCTGTTGGAAACCAAGAGTCTTATCTATGTTAAAAGTAAATATGTTTGATGGCCAATTTATTTTTATTTTAAAATTATCTTAAGTATGCATAATACTACAATAATACAGAAAACTCTCCTAAATACAGAGACAGGCAAAATTTCTGTGATAATCTAAACTCAATTTCATGCTGTTGCAAGTAGTTTTTTCCCCAACAGTAATGGATAATTTTCAATAAACAAATTTTTATAGCAATTTGAATTGTAGAACTCTACAAAACTGCCACTGCTGCTAGCTTTTTTAGCCAGTATTATACTTGCATTTGCAGAACATAATTTTGACATTTTAGATCCTTTTCCTATTATTTAATTCATGGTCAAATAAATCTAGACAAACTTAATGAGAAGTCTCAGTTTGATAAACATTTAGAGGTTATCATATTAAATATATTTTATTTTCCCAATGCCAACAGTAATTCAATCAGCCCTCCAGAAGCAAGGGAATCTGTTCTCTGTGACATCCTTAATGACAACTTAGGACAGTGAACTGAAGGAGAATAAATTTTTCATGGCTGTTGGAACATAATACTATGTAAAACTATTATTTAAAGAACAACTTTTCTCACAAAGTTGAAAATAATTTTTTACTGGAGGAAAAAAAATAGCTGGGGAAAAAAAAAATCTAATACAGGTATCTCTTTTGGAAAACTATTTAGAGCTAAATTTTAGCTTCAAATGAGCTTACCAACAACACACCTTCATTAGCAGAGTACAGACTATTTATAAAGAATGCACAAACTTGCTCAGTGGATTTCAGACAAAAAGAGAGAACTGATTTTCCAGATAGTCTTTGACAGAACAGAATCACAACAATAATATGAAGCATGACATGAGATTCTACCCACAAAAGTGCAGAGGACCCTGAAACAAATGCAAGCAAAGTGTAAGACTAATCAAAAGGCTCAAGTCAGCCTATTCAAAAGAACAACCTTGCTGGGAAATACATTCAGTAGAAGATCACGGCTGTTATCATTAGCTAAAAAACTCAGTTAATTTTACTTGTTGAAAACTGCAACGTTACCTTCGTCACAAAAGGAAGAAGATGCAAACAAAATGTTCTAGACTTTTTATCTGAGAAAACATATTTTTGTCATGTGCAAAGAGTAGCAACACTATGAACTAAGTTTTGTATGTATGTACATACACTATAAAAAAACCTGCAAAATTACATGCCTATGCAAAGACAATAGATACAGATATATAAAAATAAATATTTTATATCAATTTTTACCTGGCTGAAAAATAGATAGGCTTCCATCAGTATGTCCAAATACTACTTTTCCTTTTTTCTTTTGATGCCATCTAAACAGACTGATATCTGACAAGAAGCTGTGTGCTTCTCTATGTACAATTACCCCGCTGTCAGGTCCGGAGATAGTCCAAATGTACAGAGGACCTCTATGGGACACAAATGCAACAGCATCACCTGCATTCCAGCACCAGCTAAGTGATGCAGGAATTCCTGAAATGTGCAGATAAACGTTGTAAGAACCAGGATATGAACAGAACCAGATCATAATTTTGTGAAACAGAACATGAAATTCAGTGTATTACTGCTTGACAGTCATCGGCAGTTATCAGCAGTATCAGCAATTGCCTTTATTTCTACAGCATTTAATTATTCTACATAAAAGTTATTAGAATGAAGTTTAGAGAACTGTGTGAACATCTTAAGGTGTAAAAGTAAACTACACATACCCATAAGCACGAAGTAGATTAATTCCCAAAGTACTTTAATAGTACTTTGATAGGCTTTATTTTATGATACCTATAGTTCCCTCTTGCCAAAGACAATTACACACATGTAAGAGTAGAAGCCTGATCCTGTGAACAGTACTTTCATTAATTCACAATTCCATTCATCATTATGTTTTACTGTAAGCTATTTGTTATTAAGCTGGTAAAATACTGAAAACTTTTAAATGCCTATTTTTGCAAAATACAATTAAATTTAATTTAGAGGTAAATATAAGAGAGGCAGACATTTGTGACAAAATTGGAAAGCTCGTTCTGTAATAAAATGGAACTCTTAGTAGCTTCCTTCTGGATATATGACAGTTTTAGTTCAGTTGCCTAACATCTAACTGTAGGCATTCCAGTTTAAGGATTCTGATCTTACTGTCTTCAACTCTTAGTATCCACATAACTTAATAATATGTGTCTGAAAGAATAAATGATGTTAAGACCAACTCCTCAAGCTGAACATTCAGAGCTGTTTCTATTTAGACATTTTAATATGGCAGTCAAAGAGAGTAAAAGTAGAATTAATAGGAGGTTTAAACATATTATCCTAAAAGTAAATTAGCTTTTAAAATGTTGAAAATAATAACACTTTCACATGTAGTTATTGGATGAAGTAGGTTTTTAAACAAACAATGCATTGAAAAATAAGTATCTGTTTTTATATTAACGCATAAACTGATACAATGATTCTTTTAGATCAATTCAGTGTGGGTTTTCTCCTAGTTATTCCTTTCACAGGCTATGCAAGATGTGCAAGATTTTCAGAGATATTCTAAGTGCTCTGGAAAGAACAGAGCCAGAACGTCTCCGAAGATCTTAAGATACTGACTGTTCTTGGGTTGCACCTATTTTCCAAGAATGCAAATGTAGGAGTAAAGAACACCGGACAGAGGCTGATTGTAACAAGAGAAATACAGGTATTGGTTTTGACTGAAGGGAATGAATCAGAAGTGGGCAGGGAAAAGTGACAGACACCAACTTTTAACCTCCTAGACTTCTATCACAATCCACAAATCGGCAGTTTCAAGCCCTGACAGAAGATGTGGATAGAGAAGCATCAGGGTATTTAAACAAAAACTGTTTTTCAAATTCACTGATAATTGAGACTTAAATCTGTTGAAGGCTACGTTTTATTTGCTTCCACTTCTGTAAAGTTATCACGAAAACAAAGTTTAAAACTTAATTATTTGTCCTTTTATAGTGATATACTTGAATTGGTCAAGTACTTTAGAAAAAAGAATAACCTCCCTCTTTACTAAATACTAGATGGTTAAGAGCAATTTACTTAAACACACTATCATTATTTCATAAAATTACCTGCAACAAATCTGACAAAAATATGTTATACAACTATTAAACCTCTGGCCTATTTTTTGCTTAGAGTTTACTCAATATCAAGTATTTCTGATACCTGTGGATGAAAAAGCTGCACAGATTAAATACAACTCCATGTCTGAAATACCTTTTGCATTGTCCAGCTTGGCCACAACCTTCTGTTCGGTCACATTCCAAATAATCACCAAACTATCTGCACTGGCACTTGCAAACATGTCAGGATTGTGGGGACACCAGGCTATGGCTGTGATTGTCTTCTTATGCTCAGACATGATTGCCTGGAGTTTGAATTCATTGTATCGGTGATCCAGCTAAGCAAAACATAAAATTCATTTTAGAAATACATATTTCATAAACTCTTAAGTACTGTTAGGTTGAAGAACAGTTCACATAACAGTATTAGAATAGCAGGTGAATTTATAGTGGATTTAACTACTGTCAGTACCTGACATCTTGGTAAATTAAATTCTCATACATTTGACTTGGACAGAGTATTTGTCAAACATTCTGTTAGCCCAACCAGCATTACCATAGTCTGTGCACTTGTCAATTAAAACTATTATAATCCATTAGCAACTGCACTCAAACACAATCCTAACATGCCTTATTTATAGGCATGGTAACAATCATTTAGTCATCTGCAAGGGGTTAAGCATGACAGAATATGAAAATGAATTTGAAATCCTTCTCATTTCTTAAATCACTTAGTACAATTAAAAAGAGAAATAAAAAAATCAAATGCCCTAAAGTGACACAGTAAAATTTGTTTAACTCTACTAGGGATATAATTCATTAAGTTAAAGTAAGTGCAGCCTTTATTTCCTGACATATTTCTCAGTCTGAAAATTCCATGTCACAGCATTTCTATTTTTTTGTTACATGTTGATGTATATTAACTGTAAACTTCAGAACACCATGGTGCTGAGAAGCTCAGAAAGGAAGAAAGCAATAACTTGTTCCAAATCAAACAAAAGTGGGCCACTGAATCCACAACTTTTCACAGTGGATTAAACTATTTCAAAAGACCACTTTTACACTCCAGCTTCAAATGAAGCTGTAGAATTGCTTCATTCCTCTCTCAGAACCTGCTCTTCTATCACTGCACTTCATTCATCTCAAGTGTTTGCCGGATTGAGAGCCTGTCTTTTAAGAATATTTGACACATACAACTTCAAATATCAAGCTTACATCATTTTTTTTGCACAACATGTAACAAGGCAAAAAAGTAATTTCAAAGGGCTACTTTGAAGGGAAGACTGAGCCTTACACAGACATTTTCTCAGCAACAATCATACTTCCAAGAGCACTGTAGAAACATTTACTGAAAGGGTTCAAAGTGAGATAGACAACAATGTAAAAAAGTAACTAGTCTGTTAAATAAAAATCGTCTTACCTGATAAATATAAATAGCAAGGGTAGCACAGTAGGCAAATCTGTCCCCACTAGCAGCACATACATCCTTGTTCCATGGCTGACATCCAGCAGCTAAAAGTCCCACTTGTTTAACCCGTGACATTTTTGCCTTTAAAACAGAAATTCATTAGACTACAAGACAAGAGAATGTTAAAGAACAGAGTACAATTCTCTTCCCGTAAATAACATATACATATGTACCTTGAAGGTACAGCTAGCCTTTATGTTTTAACAGCAACATCTCTGTGGTTTATGAGGTACAAATTAATGTTTCTGAAATAAAACCAAGTACATGTTCAGAAGCTTCAGTGTTTGAAATGCTGGGGTCTGAACCCCGAGCCCTGAATTAAGGTTGACATATGGATGATTCCCACAGCCCTTCATCCAGAGGGGTGAGTTTGCCTTAGAGCTTCCCCCCAGGGTGCGGCTGGCCCTGCAGGGAGAGCCAGAAGGGAAATGAGCCCCAGGGGTCCCGCAGGGAGCTGACAAAGGTCAGGGGTCTGCTGGGGGATAAAAGCTGGGACCACTGGCAGGGAGTCAGGAGTGTCTGTCTGTGGAGTGGATGCACTTCCCAGAGTTTCCTGGTTGGGGAAGGACCTCCTGACTCGTCCTGGAACTGGGCCCTGGTCAGGTTAGACCTTTGTGAACGTGGGCAAGGAGAGATTGTCATGTGGCCACCTTTATCCTGTGTGATTAACCTGTTGACTTGGTCGCTTCCCATTCCATCTAATGGAAGTTGACTTGGTTGTTTCCCATTCCATCTAATGGAAACCTTGGTTCCTTGTTTGTTCCGCCTGATGTCAGTTGTGCAACATCATTGTTGGGATCGTTGGGGGTGATGTCGATTGCGTGTGAACTAATTGACTTGTTTGTACCCCCAGCGATCATTCATGGAATGACTTTTCTATATTCAATACAGTCAAGTTACTGGTTTGTCTTTCTGCTGGCTGTGTCATTCATGTTAGGCCTAGTAACTGGCAAGACAGTGTTACACAAGAAAGGGATTTCAACACCATTCAAAGGAATACATTTTGGAGGGGAAAAAAAAGAGACACATGGAAGCTTGAATAGTTCTTGATTTGTACTAGCTAGAGCCATTCTTCATCACTTTCATTTTCTTCTGCAGTCTCATTCAACACTTTCTGTATTACAATGCTCTCTTCTTCCCTTCATTCCCACAAAGACAGATGGACAAAATAAACCATATACTAATATTTTTAAGTCATGCAACACGTCTAAAAACGTCTTCAAACCACTTGCATTGAACAACCATGCATTACTTATCCTTTCTGGAGAAGCTTTCTGAATTTTCTTAATTCTTACTGTTTAACAAAAAAAGTTGAAGCCAACTGTCAAAAAGAAAGCAAAGCTTAGCGTAACATTGCTGTATTACTGTACAGCAGATACCTTCCCTGTTCAAAACAAATCTCAAGCTACCAGCTCTGCTCTGAACGAGGCAACAACTGTCTTTTAACATAAAAACACAAGAAACGCTTTGCTAGGCCACAACTATGTTCCACCTAGCCCACATTTGATTCATAGCAATGTCAAAATATTACTTCAGTTGGAAACCAGTCTTCATGTGATACAAACATCTCAGGTTCAATCCAACTGTCAATTTCTGCATTGCCTGCTCCATCAACATGAAGAAATAACTGTGGCTTTACCACCACTCCAGTGGCCAAACTGCAACTGAGGTTGACAAGGACGACTAGGTAGACCACAGCATGCAACAGTGTGGTGATCCAAACAGAAAAGGTCCAAATAGCTGCAAATAGGATGGATCACAGTGCTTAAAAGTACTGACTTGAGTTCTAAATGCCTAAAGAAAATGAAACACTCATGTTTAACCTCTGAAAAATTCCGTAAAAGGAGACTGTACAAAACTAGAACATTAATATAAAGAAAAACAAGTTACATGATACAGTTCTGCTGCAGACTAGTGTCCTGGCTATTAGACTTCCTTTCTGTCTCTGCCAGCAACATAAATTCTTCTGACTTCCACAGAAAGAACAGTTCTACAAATTGTATCACCTTGCAGCTCATTTGCAATCCATCTCATGTTACAAATCACAAAGGTCCCAAAGAAAGCAAATTGTTTTATTACTTAAAGAATCATTATCATCACAACAAAGTGACAAGAAATAGACTCCAAATTCCTGATTTTGCATGTAAATTTGATTAAAAGTAAACATCTCTTTAGACACTAGTGGACAAGTATTTATTTCATAGTAATAACACATTTGTCTTGATTTGTATAGAACCTCTTTTTTTACCTTCTCATATGAGAGCTAAAAGGTTCATGATTTGAGGAAGTCTAATCTGTAAGAAAATATTACCTTAAATCTTGTTTAATTTGCAGTTAATTTTACGGGAAAAATTGATTGTAAAGTCAAGATCTCTTTACAGATGCTAAAACAGAATTCCATAAATGTGTATTTCAGAGTAATAACAGGTTTGTCTTGTAGGATGCTGCAGTAATCTGTATTTTTTTTTTCTGTTAATATATTCAGTAGATCTTCCTTTTTGCTTTGATATGAGAGAAAGAGGATATTCCTGACTACATGAAATCTTGTCTGTAGGAAAATACTATTCTAAGCAGATAAGAATAAGGAGGATTCCAAGCCTAAATGCTGCAATCTAGAACAAAAAGGTCCTCTCCAGTTATTTTACAATTACCATGACCACATAAAACAAACTAGTGTTTTGGGTTTGGAGATAGCTCCACTATTAGCATTTCTATTGCTCTGTTTTCCATGCAGAGGATTAACAATGAAGAGGCTTTTATATTTTTTTTCCATGTCATCAGTAAACTTCCAGGGTTTAGGGTATTTTAATAGTTTCCAAATGCACATGTCCCTGATAGAATTCAGGCTAGATTAATCACAACAGAAATAACTGTCATCAATTACATTGATTACAAAATTATTTCAGCCTAGTTCTAAATATATATCTGTAAGCATTACTAGGTATATTAAGTATTGTAATTGGAATAGAAGAACACATTTGTATTCTCTGTCTTTTACACTTACAATAAAGAAATAAGGTAATTTGAATATGTGTTTTTAAGAAATTCAGCAACAGAAACCTCAAACAGAAGTTTTAATTTAAACAATCATTTTTTGGATAACGTACCATTTTTTTTGTTAAGCCTGATATTCAAATGAAAATGTCTCCTAAATAAGATTAATATTTAAAAGAAAAAATATTCCTTTTTGATATATCAGTATTTCACTGAATTAATAATTCATGCTTAACAAGCATTTTTAAACTTTGATTCTTCATATAGATTTTTCCTATTGAAGTGTACGTAAAAAGATTATGTATCTAAAATGTTCTGAGCTGTATTACAGAAAAGAATTTGCACTTTATGGACTAATATTTGCTGGTTTCAGCTTGTTACTATTTCCTGCTCCTCATAATGAGTTATATAGGGCTTTACAAAAAATACCATCATTAGGAAGAAGCATTTGCTTTGAAATTCAGTACAATAGCATCTGGAAGTTACAATTGTGTGGCACATTGACTGTTATTTTCTTTTAAGTATCATGCATTAAAGCAGTTTCCTGCAGATTCTTCAGACATTATAGATTTCTGGTGTGCACACTTAGAGTAAAAAGGAGAAAGCAACATTCAGCAGAACAGCTTGAGAAAAATGGCAGAAAACTAGAAATGCAGTATAACTTAATAAATATATGTATGATTTCATGCATGTTGCATTTGTACACCATGGAGATATTGCATAATTTGTTAAAAGAGCATTTTATTCTCAAATAAGGTATATACAACTATTTATATTGGGCTCTCAAGTGTACACTGAAAAAAATTGTGCATATAAAAAAAACATACTACACTGGGAAAGGTACCAAAGGATGCCCACAGTTTCCAAGGAGATGAAGGGAAGAGGGAGGACAACAAAAACCTTTATTTTCAATGGGCATGAGCAGCAACATTCTACATCCTTCCTTGTTGCTAAATATAGAAAGAAAAAAAAATAATTTCTAAACTGTATTGTTAGTATTATTTAAAAAACACAACCGAATAGACTAGATTCATAAACAAGGCTACATATCAATAACTTAAAGATAAATGCCTAATAATCCCTACCTTAGCATAAGTATCATTTTTTGTAAACCACTTAAGAATTTCCATGTTCATTCAAATACCTTGCTGTCCCCAAAAATGTAAAATCTTTCTCTGGCTGTAGAATGAAATCACTTTACTTGACAGATGAAGGCACTAAACCTTGATGTTCACAGAATAATGCAGTTACTAAAGGATGCAGGAGAAAAGACTGAGCCTTGTGTTGCACCACACACAAAACGGCAGTGTCAGTAGCCTGGCAACTGCAGCTCTTTAACAGGCACCATTTTAATTTTAACATAACTCCTTTCCCTCTGCTTCAGTTGCTCAGTGTATTTCACTGCTTGTTGTACCTCCCGACTGTACTACAACAATATTTACAGAAAAATAAGAGCTCTTTAAATCCCCTTAGCGTTTAATTCTCCCTTTAATTCTCATAACATTAATCACCCTTGAATGCAGATAACATTATGATGTTTTAAGTATTCATGAATTTATAACCATCAAGCAGAACCAGCAAGAGATGCTTATACTGGCAGTAATTGTGGTTCATATGTTGTATGTCCTGTCCCAATGAGTACATATGAGTATGGCATGCACACAAGAGAATATACAGTAGCATTATGTTAATCAATATGGTTCTGTGCATACAAACCCCTGGTTTCTGAACAGCTACCACCAGTACAGTACCCCTGTCCTCTGCTTCTGTTCATTCTCTTGTCATTACCTTCCAGTTAAGTTTATATGTTTTCTTATGTGGAAAGCTTGCTGTCGATCCTGGATGTTATATCTCACTCAGGCTACTGATTTCAGGTACCAGTGTTTTTGTCAATATGTCAGTGATAATGGAATAATTAAAAATTATTACTTTATTAAAGATATATCACTTTGTTAGTGATACAAAAGTGATGTATCCTTAATGAGATTTGGTATATTTACCCATTTTTGTGGGAAAATCCACTGCAGATGAAAATAAGACCTGTGAACTATAGAATTTGAATTTCATTACCCTGTCTAATGGGACTGGTTTGCAGCATCATATAATGGACAATGAATTTATCTTGTTAAAAACATGAAGATCTTCAAATGTACCATGAAATCTCTGCATACCTGCAATGCATGGTGGAAATCAACTTCCACTGTGACTGCCTCAACAGCACTGAGTCTCATGTAAGAATATAAGCATAATTAGCACTAGCCACCTTCTAACAGGACTGGAAAACACCAAGCACATTATGGCCATGTTAAGAAATTAAATTCTGATTATTATGTCCAGACCCATGAATTAAAGGATAATTGGAAACATTCTGGTACATATGTGGTTTAAAAGGCAATAGATGAATTAAATTTACTAAGACTAAAGAAAGCTAAGATCCAAAACCTTTCATGTTGCTAGAAGGAGCATTTAAGAAATTAGTACATTTTCTAAATTCTGTTCCATGCTATCTATCCATTATGTTTAAATGTATTTAGAGCTATTACTCTATGAACCTCTCAGGAATCTCAAAAGTAAAGGTAAGGACATAAGAAGATGGGCAGAAATACTATGCTATGAAAACTTTGACAATATAAGTATTGTCAATGATCAGTTATCATGGATTTGAACAGATCATAGGGAAAAAAGCTTAGAAACAAATAAATATAACTGGAATGTGACACTGCCATCTGTTTAACAACTACGTATCTCAGTATCAGTTGAGCTATTCCTTTAAACAAAAGTCCTTCCTACATTGCATGGAGTACCACAGAAGGCTAAAGAATTTTCAGTCCTTGATGTGCACAATCAAACTGCAGTTACTAATGTGGGTCTCTAAATAGTCTTACTGAGACTGCATATACGACAGTCACAATGTAAAATAATGCAGAACTATGATGTAAGTTTATGCATGCACTGCTCTAAACAACAGCTAAGCCCATCATACTTCTCAGCAGAACTAAACTTAGGGAGTCTGCTGCCTGTTAAAGGTGTCAGGTTGGTTGCTAGTTTACCACTAAGCAGTACAGACAGAGAGCTTGCATGTTTCTCTGTGAAAATTAGAGAAGTTTTTTCCACTTTTATATGCAATCTATAGCAAACACACTGTCTATGGTTCCTGGAGAGTCTGAAGATTAACCACAGGCAAGAGGAGAGTGCCGCAGATAAGGCTTTGAATTTCTGCAGGATTCTTCAAAAACTCCAGAAGCCATGGCTAGACTCACATTTGCAGATGACATTTCCTAACTTATGGAAACACCTAGGAAGTGTTCAAAATGAGTGCATTGAGTTATCCACACACTGACTAGGAAAAGAACACTATTATTTAAAAATCATTTTAAACGAACAAGTGTTGTACTGGTGTTCACAGACATTTGAAACCTCCACAATAAACTCAAAGACTACTAGAATTGATTTAATCACAGTATCTCTGGCTTCATAAGGGAAGAAGTTTTGTCCCTCCCACCGAAGTTTGGAAAAAGTTTGGATTTGAAATCACAGCCTGCGACTTTATTTTACAAAAAAAACCAAACTCTGACTTGAAATTAAAAACAAATACATTAATCTGAGATAGATATGCTGCTTAGAAAACCTAAAGCAAACCATTTAATATAAAAAAATCATAACTTAGCACAAGTCTTACAAAGGAGGATTTTTGTCTGTTTTGACTGCCCGGCTTGTACAGTTTAACCAGAATAAAATTTATTGTGCAATGTCAACAAGATAATCTAAAGAACAACACTAGGGTTTGAAACAGAGCACGGAGAAATGCTGGTATTTCTAACAATACATCACCATCAGTGTTGAGCTACATAACTAATCAATCCAAGATATTTGATCTAGCAACAGTAACACAACCATCATCTTGCAGAGTATTAGTCACACAGTACCAGAAATCTTGGTTTCAGATACTGTGTGTATCACAAAGAAACACACACAGCCACGCCTGATCTCAGTAAAAAGCACCTAAGAGCCTCGGTAAGAGTTTTGTTCTCAGCTTCCAACCCAGAGCTACCACAATCACCAGAACAATACTTTGCTGCTGGTAAATTGCTAAGGCACTTCTGATTTCATATAAATTTACTTCTTGACATATCTCACACCTGAATCCCTGATGAGCAGCTACGAGAAGAGAACTGCACATCTGAAACACTCGTATCATGAGTGACACGTAAAATGAGAGCAGTGGGAAAGTATGAAAATCCACAAATTTTTAATACTTAGGAGCACATAAGTGGCACTACCAAGTAATACACAATCACACAATGAAAGCAGCTGCTGGCCCTTATGTTTCAGTGGCATCTCCTGAGTTCTGATTCATTAGCTATATACTATAGAGAATATTCTATCAAAACAAGAAACAGAAATTACAGAAAAATATGGTTACATAAAGGAGCTGGATACAGTAAAAGAAATGTGACTTATATTCATTTCCCACCATAAATCTATGAAAGCAGCAGTAGATAATCTTGCCTAAGGCATGCAGTTTAATAAACATTAAAAAAAAATGCAAGATATCCTGCAAATGTTGCTATAGTAACAACTCCTCCTCCTTGGAAAAATGTTAATGAAAATATACAGATATCTAAGGTACAACTTGGAAATGACCCTGAGTAAATTTAGTATCTCCCAAATATTTTTCATTTACTCTGTTACTCTATATAGTTATTTTCCTTTACTCCATGCACATTAATTCCTCCTAATACAATAAAATTAAATTATTCCCATCTCATTACATATTAAAGCATTACTACTCATTAAATTTATGCAATCTAAAAAATGCAAGTAGGTGGCCACCAAACTTCCAATACCTTTTATCCAGCTAACAATATTAATTAGAAAAAAATAAAATAATTTTAGATGTGGTTATCTATGATTCAAGACCTCATTAAAACTACTAAAAATCCTTTCTTAGTACCATTGTGGGGACATTACTTTTGGTAATAGTAATATAACAGAAGCTTAAGGAAGAAAAATATAAAAGAAGTAAAAGAGAAAATATTAATTTAAACAGTTCTTACTCGTTGTTGTCCTTCATACCAATCATCTTCATCAAACCAGTGAGAAATATAAGTCATCCAAGCCATGACAGAAGGCACAGTTGAAATAAAAAATGCAGAACCTGAGCACATGTAAGTACAATGAGTCCTGTGCTAAAATTCACTCACCACAACAAGCTACCCAAAGACCAGATCTGAACTCTGTCATATGATTCTACATTAATAAGCTTTAGATTCATATATATATATATATAATCTGAAATAATTTTGTTGGCAATTTAAATGCTGTATGTATTGGACTCTGAACTGGAAACACTAAAGCAATTACTAGATTATATATTCCAGTACTTTAGATTAAAAGCAGTGCTTTAAACTCGATTCTACAGTGCTTCCAAGCTCGGAAAATGAGCTACTGTTTGAGTTATTATTTGTCTCCTAAAATTTTTTTCCTCTTTTGCACTATCTGTAAGAAGTCTGGTTCAGTGCACAGAAGCTTGTATTGAAATGTTAAATACCTTCAGAATCACGGGGTGGTATGTTTTGGTTATGTAGGGAGTGGTTTCAGCTGGCACAGTAGGAGGGGCCACGATTATCACAAATGCCGAACATCTTACATGGAAGATTTTTTTTTTAAAAGGGGAAAAAAAAAGAAATAAAAGCTATGCACCTTCATTATTTGCAGCCAGCAGAGCCTGAAGGGCTCAGATACAGTTAGCAGCACTCACTGGGAAATTTTAAAAAAACGAATTTTCACTAATTCATCTGAATGCATCTGCTGCTTTTCCCTCCCTTTGGAGAGTTTCACGTATCTGGCTGCATTATTCCTTCTGCAGCCTGCTACCCGTTTCTGATATGCTCCCAAATTTCACAGTGCATTAAACCAATGAAAACAAGAGATAAAACAGAGGAATAAAAGCTTTAGTGCTCTCACAATTCAGTACTGCAGCAGCACACTTCATCAGCTGTGCTATTGAGGAGACATTATACAACCCTTCCTGACTGCATGGTGGCAGCAAACATCGAATCCTCAACAGAGATTATGGAGACCTAAAAATCCCCAGTTCCTTAAAAAAAAATCTAGAACCCAGACAACCTCTGTCTCTCTGCACTGGATTAACAGTTTCCCAAAATTCAAAATATAATAAATGCAAAACCTAGACTATGAAGACAACTGTTCCATCAAGAAGTAAACAAAGCAGAGTAGGAAAAGGACAGCTGGAAGCACCAGAGATTAACCTGGAGTCGGGGGTCAGCTTTACTTCCAAAGAGCAATTCAGTGTCATTCCAGCCCTACTTTAGCACATGCAGTTTCTATTACTACAGTCTCAGATATGCTGCAGGGAAATAAAGAAAAGCAGCAATATATTTTCTTCCCAGTATCTTACTCAGAAAATACAACATCCAAAGGAAAAAACCTTTAATGACACGTACAAAATAGCAAGAATTTAAATCAAGACACCCACTATATCTGTGAGAAGTAGCATTCCTAGATTAGCAGATTTTTTTTCTTGGTTACAGTGCTCCAGATAGATACATACGTACAAAAGAACATACAGAAGAACATCCCACCAATTTACTGCTGAAATTTTTCAGATGACTTCCCCTTTGAGACTTTGTCTCAAACATTGCACGATTCTGTGCACTTTGAGTTGTTGGTCTCATAAACTATATGGGAAATACGAGATTAATTCAGACACAGCTAAAGAAATACCTGACCATATCCATGGCCTGTGACTAAAGGACAAGTATGTTACTGCTGTAGCATTCCTACAAACAAAAATGTTACAATTTGCTAAACAAATCACATCCACCTTATTACGGCTTGTTACACCCCAAAATCATGGTTTCAAAACCATCAGTAGTAGCATATTTAGGAAAGCCCTTGTTTTTGGGCTGCTCTGTCTCTGGCACATAGCTTCCTTCAGCATCTTGAGCCAACTATTACATGTAGCTCAACAGTAGTATTTTTTTGTATGTGAGCTGAATTTTCTAGTCTCAACACTGACCTGTTAGAATGATGAGTCTCTCAAAAGAGACGAACACCATGGTTCACATCTCATTTCAAAAGCATGGGCTGAACCAATGCTAAAACTAAACCAGTGTGGATACTGTATTATCCTTTCAATAAACTGTTGGTATCTTCAGTTCAATGGTACAGACACAATTAAAATCTTCACAGGACAGTGGATGGAACTTGAACTGCTAAAAATGATGCGTAACAATTACCGGTAAATAAAGTAAAAAACTTTGTGCTAAATTATACTTGAAAAATAAAGACAAGAAAGACTAGTAGCTACAAATGCATCATGAATCCACTGCATTTGTTTGCCTGTTCCATCATTCATCTTCAACTGCTGGAAAAACTATTATGCTATGGGTATAATAATACTTCAGTGGAGGATGAATGAAACTCCATGTACTACATCTTACAATACCAGTATAAAACATCTCAGCATATTCCATCCCTTAAAGTTTTGTAATTAAGCTTAATCTTATTAAGCGTTTTATAAATTACTTGGTATGCACTTTATATATAAAGTCCTGATGGTATATCTGGTTAGGTGTTCTTGGTTCTCACTTCTAAGGACAAAAATACGTACTATGATATAAAAATTTAAAAAATATCATTTTTGTTCAAGTATAGAGTGTTAATAAGGAATTTTAGTAGATCAAACCAAAAGAGATATCCTCAAGGTATATACAGACTTACCACAGATTGCCCAATAAATGTATTTGCAATATTCCAGAGGGAATAAAAAGACAGAACAGCTCCTATTCATTTCATGCAGAAACAATTGCTTAATTCTTGAGCTGACACAAGAAAATGGAATGGAGTTGTGTCATGGGAGGTTCAGACTGGACATTAGGAAAAAGTTCTCTGAAAGATAGTTGGTCACTAGAACAGGAGCCCCAGAAGGGGTCACAGCACCATGCCTGTCACGAGTTCAAGGAGCATCTGGATGATGCTCTTTGTTGTATGGTTTAATTTTAGGTAGTCCTGTGAGGAGCAGGGGGTTGGACTTGATGATTCTTAGGACTCCCTTCCAACTTGAGATATTTTATGATCGTGCCTATTCTGCAGGCAGTCCTCTCTTTGGAACTAGGTACTCTCATTTCAACAACTGACAGAATAATTTTGCACTTTTCAGGGCCAGGACTTACCATCTAGAGGGAATGACTCTGATAAAGTAACTACCTTTCAGAAATTAAAGTTCTTATTTATGAACGTAATAACTAGTAATTTACATACAACAGGAATAATATTATCAATCTATTTAACAAGCCAAAAGGTCTCTGAGGGAGACTTTCCATTATGAATAGGGCTCTTCTCTGCCTGCAGTAAGACCAAGAGGGAGCAGCATGAATGGGCTACTTTACAAATTATGGAAGCCAGGAGCCAAGTGTGACCACAAAGTAGATGGCAGGGGGTGATCTTCCTGTTGAGGGGCACAGTCCCTCAGTACTCAAGAGGAGGAGAACAGGCAAAGACCAAGGCAAAAGCCTTGAGCTTCAATGCAGCTCTAGCCTCGGGGCAGAAGGCGCATGGAGGGAGCCCAGAGACAAGGTTTCCTCTAGCACTTCTCCCAACTTCACTCTTTTCATACAGTCTGACCCAAGGTTACACAGCTGCCCAGTATCAGAGCTTGACTTGAACACAGACAGTTAAACCCCTGGTGTAGGGAGGAAAGAGGGCAAAGGTGGAGATTGGAGAGCAAGAATTATGGGCTAGTCAGGCCAACTAAAGCCTGTACGTTGGTAGAATGGAGGAAGCAGAAGAGCTGCACTCTTGATGCCATATCCTCATAAGGTCAGGGAGTCTTATAAGCTCAAAAGAAGTCACTACAGTGGCATTCTGATCTAGAAAGAGCCTCAGTTTGAACGCCTATGGCATGGCAAATTTTATCTTCTCACAGTGTAACACTTGGTGTGGGAGGAGCTGTCACAGGAAGTATTACCTTTGAGAATCTAGCAACATCCAACTATCCAACATAGAAGCAACTCTAATGAGGGCTGCAATGCACGTAGCCAGCACAGTTCTAGGATCTGCTATCACAAGCAGCTATGTGCAAGTGTAGGCTATAGTGACTGGACAAATCAGTTTGGGGAAACCTTCATATAAGGCATTGATACCGGGTGGGGAAGCTAAATAGCAAAGAAAAATATTTGGTTTTCAGCTTTACCAGCTGGTAATATGTATAGTCTCAGAGGCAGTGATATTGCAGAGGAAATTTCTTCTCAAGTTTATGAGCATCACCTGTCAAGGACACCAAAACTGTATATATTCACAGAATGACTCTCTGAAGAACACTGTCTGAAGTGATGATGGATCAATCCAGCCACCAACACAAGGTTCCTCAATCTTTATTTGGATTCTTAATTTAGTCTCAAAAAACTTGAATATTGAACAGTTCAGTGTTTTCAGGATCAGAAACTTCTAGTTTCAAGTAGGGGAGGATTTCATTCCAAGTGATATCTTACTTTATTGATGATGACAACCTTCAGTTACCATAAGTGTAGACATCAGACAGGACAGAAAGCCCAAATACTATGAAATTTCTTCTAAGATACAATCCAGCAGGAGTAAGTAATCAGGTTTTGCCAACTGCTTTTAATGATTCTGCCTTGTATGATAAAAAGGAAGGATGTGTAACCTGTGAACAGCGACGGTTCGTGGAGGTTACTACGTGCAGTACCACAGATAAAACAGCTGAATACTTGGCCCCAAAGTTTGACTGACCAGGCATAAGTACAAAAAAACCCTAAAACAGTCAGAAGGATAAACTGGAAATGATGCCTGAAGCCACAAAATTCATTATAGGAATTAATGACTTCATAACAAAAAAACACACAACAAAAAAACTGAGAATAAAATATTTTTTTAAAATTCCTTAAATTACAAGCGTATAAAAATCAATTACTTTCATAATTTTTGTGGCATTATGTAAATTCATTACATCAATACCTATAATAAGTCAGTCAATTAAGAAGCCACAGGTTTTATTTATTAATTAGTGCTTTAGAACCTTTACACTGAGAATATGAAGAATCTCATGGTCCTAAGTATCTTAAAGTAAATCATAAAATAC